ACTTGTTATTCCGGAAAAAGAAACTCCGAGGAAAAAAAGACAGTTAGCCCATTTTGGGACCCACAAGTAGTAATCGAATTATTTGGATTGTTCGTAATCCTAATCTTTTACGAATTTTACCCCGCGTAACTAAAAGTCGCAATTAACTATTCTAGCTATATCAAAAATTTTTAAGTAATACTAATCAATTATCTCAATTAGTTCTGTCGATATTCAGTAACGTAAAGATCATTTTCACTTAAGAGGCACTAACCGAAATGTTAAGTTGCTTAACTATAAAAAACGGTCAAAATTTTACCCAGATTAGAGTTGCGTACAATCCAAATAATTCGATTACTAATTGTGGGCCCCAAAATGGGTTGCTGCTTTTTTCTCAGAGTACGCTATAGACATCTTTTATAGATTTGCTGTATCACTAATACGATAAAACTATCATTTAAAGATTTGAACATGCCGTTCCTGGTAAAACGGAAATATCTACCCTTTTCTCTTTTTGTAAAATGAAAGAGGCACTTATTGTTAGTACTATAAGAAATTAACGGAGAAACGGACGATTAAGGGTTGACAGGGGTGGCAGAGATTCACCCCGTCGAACTCGGCGCATATACTTACGCGTGTCTATATAAGGCACGCGTAAGCACGTCTCGCACACTGTACAAAGCCTCCTCCTGCACGTGTGTACGATACGTGCCATGCGCACACGGGCGCGCGGCAATACACGCGGCGTGCTTAATTATATGCATTCTCGGAATCTGCGCGGATTCACCTTATCTAGTGTCCGTGCACGTTTCAACGCTTCGTGTTTACGCGTCGAAAGGGAGAAAGGAACTGCGCGCTGCGCCTTATTTACGGGCCCTCGCCGCAGGATATCGAGGATATCGAGGATTCTCCCCTCGCCCGTTCCTCCCTTCCAGCCGCATTTCCTCGAGAACGCGGAGCAATCCCTCGGAAACTGTGTCAAAAATAAAAGGGAATATTTGCGGGGAAAAAATTAAAGATCCTCTTTAGTACACAGCATATTCTTGGCGCAAATATGTGATATAATTTTCGCAGGCTTGGTTTTCGATGATACGCCGAAAAACGTAACCGAATTGCACCCTTAAAAAAAATGCAGTCAAAACTGATAAAAAAGTTGATCACTGATGGATAACTGATAATTGTAACTGATGACAGCACAACCAGTATATTGAAACAATTTTACCAGATACTGATATAAAAACTGGTCATTTATTCAGTTTTATATTGATGAGTAAAGGCCAATTTCACAATCGTCGGTTAAGTCTTAACTGTTAACTAGAGTTCAGTCAACTTCTTGTCTTATTCTATTTGGTTATCTAAGAAAGAGAATCAATTAACCTTCGGTCAACGGTTGATCGGCGTTTGTGAAACTGGCCCTAAGTGATAAAATTATCAGTTACTGATACAAAAACTGGTAATTTGTTCAGTTTTATATTCATCAGTAATTGATAAAACTTCCAGTTCTAGTTGAACCATCAGTTGAGTCACCAGTTGTAGCTGATCAGTTATCCAGTCAGTGTCCAGTTGTCAGTTCAGTTCCCTTTCACCCGTTCTGTTAAACACTTTTTATAACAATGTATATATATATATATATTACACAAGTATTTTATTACTATTATTGTTTGTGTAAGCAGCATCAGTAACTGATGATATTGAATCAGTAACTTGTAGCGTTCTCAGTGACTGATTACAAGAGTCAGTTACTGGTAATGTTCCTCAGTTAATGTCCAGTTTTAACAATCAGTTTCTACATCACTTTGAAAAACTAGTCGCACAGTGATTGTTATCGTCAGTAATTCAACACAGATCAGTACTTAGTTACTCATCAGCACTTAGTTACTTATGATAACAATCATTGTCTAACCAGTTTTTCAGAGTGAAGTAGAAACTGATCATTAAAACTGAACATTAACTGAGAAACATTACCAATAGTTGACTCCCGTAATCACTCACCGATAGAACGCCACGAGTTATCGATTCATCAGTTACCGATGCTGCCAATCAGTTCTTTTTCTTAAGGGCAGTCAATCGTTTCATTCGCACAGAAGGGGGGGATTCTCGCATATTTATAAAATAAAAATCTAAGTCTACATTTTATCGCTTTGAATAAAACGAGCTTCCTTTCGGTCGGTTTTGTTTCGGCGCTCGGTTAATTATCTTCACGGGCTTCGAGAGAAGCCCACGGAAGCCCTTCTCGCGCAACTTGCGGGACCGAGTGCACCGAGAGACGGGTCATTTTTGTGGCAAGTCCGGGACGCGGATAGGTGGAAATGACCACCGGTCTCCCGTGGGACGGGAGGGACGTGAAGGGGCCGGGAGAGATCGAGCCTCGCCAACAGTCGTATCGTCTGGCGCGCTTGATGGAGTAGTCTCGCGGCTAATGTCGAGCGAGGGTGAGTACAGGGCCACGACGTGGACGACGAACGATGCCTGATTCATCACCTCGCCCGGGGTAGACGTTCGGTGTTGCGCCGCTCACGCTACTCCCAAGACGCAGACAAATCAACGTACATTTGGAAATCGGAAGAGGAAGAGGCGCGCGCGCGCGCGTCCAGGACCCGTCCGGCTACCAACGGCGTCAGGATCGATTGTAACTGGCGCTCCCGCGGGAAGGAATCTGACTGTCCGCTGTATCCTTGAAGAGGATCGCTGACCTCGGGCGTGTCGGCGGCGAATTTGTAACGCACAATGTTTTGAACTGGCCGAATTTACGTGATATACGTTTGTCGAACACGACAACAGCCGCTTTTCCTCTTCGGTCTGTAATCGGATAATTTGTCCCTCTGAAAAAGAAACGATGGAGCGATCCGCGCCCCTGTTCGCCGCGTCGCATCTTATGTGCGTTAGTTTTCTTTTGCGAGCGTTACTTAAATAATTTCAATGATAAAAAAAATTTCTCTCCCTCTTACTCCAGCTATTCGATCACGGCTGCTTCTGCAGATTTATAAACGTTGCGTGAGAGAATGTCAATACACCTACAAATTAATTGGCAGGGGAGAAAATAAGTACGGATGTTTATGCGGTATAAAATGAGAGACTCTTATATCCGTACGATCTCACCAAGTAGTCTTAACGTCCGCTCCGTGCGCTTCCACGAGCCAGATAGAAGCGCGCTCCGCTGCGCGGCGATAAACCGCGGTATCATACGCGCGATCGGATGTAGACGCGTTTACATCAGGGGAATCGGGAGCTTACCTCGGAATCGGATTGAGGTGGCCGGCGTACCGCGCGGCTGCGATCGAGGCACAGCGATCGCCGCGCGGCCAATTAAACGCGAATGATTACGGCGAATCGTGTTCCCGCCTCGATGACAATCAGCCCGGTTGTATCTCTGCTAAGTACTCGAGTATCACGGTCCCTTATCCGCGTGATCACAGGAAGTGCAGCGTGTTCTCCTCGCGGGTCGTCCCGATGCATTATTTCGGGTGCAGCATCAATTGTCATCGAATAGAGACCCCTCGGCGAAGGCCATCAAGGTCAATGCACTCGACACGTCGATCAGACAATTTTGTGCGACACACCTGCGCTTATCCGCCGCTCCGGAACAACGTGCGGCACCCTCGCGGCGTGTGGGTGCGGGCTGACAGCTCCTATCGCGCTTGTTACACGGATAGGTTATTGAAGATCCTGAAATGGTATCGAACAGGCCTTGCCTTACATATAGGGGGAGTGATAAGAGGGAGCTGTTTGCTAAGTCTTCGCAAAAGTTGCACGCACGCACGAACCACCAACGGCGCAAATCGCTTTTGTGCGTGTTAATGATAAACCGGAGATACATCGAATTAATTCAAATATATGACGAGTACCGCACGATGTTGTTTCGAATATTACTAATATTTAAAAAATTACCAAGTTAAATAGCAGTTTACGGTCTATTACATTTAATAAATTAGCAGTGTTTCAATAACAACTCGTAGAAATCACAGATAAGAACTAATTTTTTTAATTCTAAAGTAACAGTTACCATTAAGTGCCCATTTTATTATATTTTAAATAATAGATTCTTATTTAAAACGTGCTACCTCCGTACTCTTTACAAGTAGATTCCGCTGGTATTGATCTAATAATGTAAGAAACGACACATGTCAGTGAACGGCAATAACTAATCTATTACACATTTCACGAATATGTTTATTTCTCTGTTGCAAATGTTTAAAAAGTAAAAAAGTTGGATAGCGATAAACTTTTAATCAAATCCAGTTTTCTGATAACATAGAAATGAAAGTTACGCACTCTCTCGAACCAATTCTAGAATAAGCATTATTATCAAGGCCGGTACTCATAGTCGTATTAGCATCTTAAGACATTGCTTAAGATAATCTTTAAATAGGAACGGGCTATGAGTACCGGCCTGAGAGCTTATTTTAAATAATAATTTTAATCAGAGTTTCGAGTATTGAATCGCCAATGCTTGATTAACAGTTAAGTTGAATAATCTGGCTACAGTAAAATTTACTTTATTTTCAACACAACGTTTTGGCCATGGATTTTGGCCCTTTTCAAGTGTACTGCATCAAAGCAGTGCACTCATACAGCAAGCAGACAAATCTAGAGAGACATTATGTCTGTGTAGCGATATGCCTAACTGGGCCTAATGGCATTTAAACACATACCGTATGCTGACTTAATGCTGTACACTTGTAAAGGGCCTAAACCTATGGCCGAAACGTTGTATTTAAAATAAACGAAATTTTCTTGTAGCCAGTTGTGTCGGATTGTTCAACCTAACTAATAATTCTAATGTCAAATGTCACCCGTCATACTGTTTGTAAATTGATTTCGCCGTCGATACCAATATAAACCAATACATAACAGTAGGTAAACGGCAGTAACCCCAAGACTCGCGACTAAGTCATCATCGTCACCAATTTCCATCAAGAAATCCGTAACATTATACATTAAAAATCTCTTAAGAACGACAGACGTTATTACGCAAATGAGTATAAGGCGATCCGCGGTATAATTGAACAAAAATTAGAGGTATGAACTTTGATTTTCCCAAACTCAACATGAGAAAATTGATTGCAATGGTTAGTAATTATTTATACAACTGTTACAGATGGCATGATATAATGTTGTAATAAAAGATCGTAGAATTAATGCAATTTATATATTATATCAAATATTGCAGGTTTAAAGCTGATTTACCGAACTTAAACCCAAATAGGTTTTCTCAATAGGAGTCGAAGATATGTCTAAACGAACGCATTCGATTACAGAACATAAGTTTACTAAAAGACGTAGGACTTTAAGAGAAATGATGCAAATGATAATATTTAATAAAATTTACAATCCATTCTCTTACAATCATAACAACGTTACACAATGGTTGAAACTAGAAGAAGTGAATTTACCAAACAATAAAATTTGCGACCTGCCAGTGCAATTAGGCACTTTACCTTCTGTAAAATTCCTGAATCTGTCACAAAATTGCATTGGAATTTCCAGTAAATATAAATGGTTATGGTTAGCACAACCTAAGATCAGAAAAACATTACTCTTCCTTTATATGAGTAAAAATTTGGTAGGTTATACGTTTAATAAAATATCAAAAGTGAAACAACTAATTAATTAAATCTGTTGCATGTAGGAATGATTAATGACTTTCCGCGGTTAATGATAACGCATCATTATTTATAGATAACAGAATTACCATATTATATTGGGAAGTTGAGTGCTTTGTGGGTACTGGACGTTTCCTACAACGCGTTGAGAACCGTACCAGAAAGCATCGCCGATATACCAGATCTCGGAGCTTTCTATGTGTCATATAATTCGCTATTCAGTTTACCAATAGAAATTTTTATTCGACCGTTCCATTTGGACGTTTCAATGAATCCATGTATAATCAAAGATAATTCGAAGAATGAGAGTCCTTTGGAGAGTAAATTTCCAAGTCTTAAACAATTATCAGCCGCAACAGTGCGGCGATATAGGTTTGTCTCTTCTTTCAGTATTTCGTACATTCATATACACGCGCGCGCGTACTTTTGTGTGTGTGCTATCAACACATGCAGTCACGCATTAGCTATGCGTATGTGCATACATATGTATAAGTTTATAGATATACATATATACATGTTTGTATACACATGTACATGTATACCCATACTTATACATATACGAAAGGTACAATCTTCTTCATTAATGCCTGGACCTGCATTTTATCTTCATTTTTCTCATCCATACAACTCACTGAGTTTTAGGCTGTACGTAATATGTATGTACAGGCTTATTTTTAATGCCTGTACCTGTATTTTTATCATCATTTATCTCGTTTATACAAATCACTGCGTTTTAACCAGTATGTATGTACACTAAAAATGACTCGTGCTTTCCCATATAAATTTAGAAACAGGTAGAACACAAATTCACTTTTCATGTATAATATGTATGTGCAAAGTGTATAAATGTGTTGATATGTGCCCAAATCCATGTGGGAAGGCATTAGTGATTCCTATTGTACTATCACACACTTCTATAGAAGCTGTGTGAGCTACAGCATGAACCTCATCGATTTATAGTTGAGAATAAAGAATATGAAAGTGTGTATCCTAGTAAACCTTGGGTTCAGGCATTAATAAATAAGACTGTACATATAAGTACCTACTTTACATAGCTGAATTGTCTTCGATTGCGCCAGAAAGAACTGGATTTCGAAACAGTCTATAAAATTATAGGGAAAAAATTTACAAAAATTATGCCACTTATCTAGATAATATCTGATCTAATAATATAAAATAAGTGAAATTCTTTTTTTCCTAGGATACCATATAGTAGAAGTTTACTGCCAAATGCGTTGGTTGATTATACAAATTGTCTGAAACGTTGCATCTGTTGCAAAAATTTCTTCAGAAATGCCTATATATATTCATGGAGGTCTTGTGTACCAAGATCTAGAATTAAGTACGTATCAAGAGGAACGTAGCCGAAGTTTCTACTTGTGGAACATAGCAGATGTTAAAACAACAAATGTGTGTGTAAATTTATTTAACAAATGGACGTAAAAATAATAATTCAAGAGTACAAATTTTATAAAACTGTAAAATAATAGGTTTAAAATTTTGAGTTTGTACACGCAATTTAATACAAGTACTTTTGTCTAAATTCAGTTGTGTATGTAAATTTTGTGTATGTTACAATACACAAAAATTTTCACTAATTGGAACCCTATTGCAACAGCATATTTCTGCGACGAAATCAAGTAAAAAAAGTCTGGTACTATTTTTCCCTCCGACTAACAATTATCGAGATATCATAAGCTAAACATTAAAAAAGTTAAAATTTTATCTTGAATATCTCATAAAGTATTAGGCAAATCGAAAAATGTTTCAGACAAAAGTAATTCACATTAATTAGTAGAATAAGATAGCATAATAAACAATAGGGGGTTCCATTTAAAAAATTGGAAACGACCTTTACGTAACCTTAAAACAACTTGTCAAGATTAAACTAATGGCACCATCTTATGTCCCCCTTCGAACCAAACAACTTTTATCTGAAATATTTATTCTGCGATCAAAAATAAAAAGTTATTTTGTGTGGCACATTAAATTGGGACACTCTGTATATGTTTGTATACACATGTACACGTATACCCACACATACATATATACTAAATGTACCATCTTTTTCATTAAGGGGGGAAATGCATTTAGACGGCCGAAAATGATCCATTTTTGGGGAATTTTTTGCTAGGAGAATAAATTATATGACACTTTAAAAATTATATGTACTATTTACTTATACTTTAAGCTATTTTAATATATTTTTTATTTTATATAATATAAAAAATGGCGGAGCTATTGTATTGTCTTCCGAAGACATCGGCACGCGAGTTGCCAATCTGCGGG